GCAAATTAGCAAAAATTATTTAAATGCCTAATGATATTCTTTTACCACTAATAACTGATTTAGAACTGTAGAAGAATTACTTGAAAGTGTCAGTAATAATGACACCTAAAACAATAGCAATATAAAAGTTGGCAGACATTACAGTTTTTCACCTCCAAAAAAACAAATAAACATATTTACATATAAACCCAAGTTAGAAAAATCAATTATATGAATTCAATTAAATAGAAATTTAAATAATAATAATAACAATTTCAAGCATTGGCTTTATCAACTTCAATTTTCACTGTGACTGTTGAAACCATTTCTGAAACAAGTCACATGTAATAAAAGCAAATAAATTTTATTAAAGTACTAAATGCAATACCAAACATTCGCTTTTCAACTTCTTCTAAAAACATCATAAGCAAATACATTAAAATATTACAAGGAATATACATCAATAAAAAATTTCTACTAATACAATCAAATAGCACATTCACAAAATCTTATATATAAACAACATATTGTGCAATGGATAAAAGAGAATTATGGCATAAGGTATTAATATTTAACATGAAAATGAAGCACAATAAAAACTGTACAGGAAACATGACTTACACAGTAGCATTAGAATAAGATAATATATTTTAATATCATAGGAGTATATATAGTAAGATTGAGATTAGAAGGTTAAGTATAAAATCTTTTGAATGAAATTTTATTTGGAAGAAGGTATTTGTGTTTAAACGACACTGCTAAGTTTATCAAAATGTGTTGCCTTTAATTTTCCATTATTTTCAAAACTGGTTTTTTAATAAGTTGATATGCACAACACATTATTGGATTTTTTTTTCTTAAAAACTTTTATATTAACATGAATAAAATAGAATTTTGTATCTGATTTCTTTACTTATATACATATTGGTATATTGCTTGAAAAGTTTTTAAACACAAACTAATTCACCCTTCATTCTTAAAAAAGTTACTTTTAATTTAAATAAATTAATGAATATTTATCATCAAATTCATTTACAGCCTGTGCAGAAGGGAGAAAAAATGTTACTCTTCACATAACATATAAGCATTTAAAATTTATAAAATGACTCAATTTTATAAACTCTAAATTTTAATGAGAAACACACATTAGTGAACATTCAGAAACAATAAATCATACATAAATTCAACAGATATGATTTTAAATTTGGGTAGCATAATATCACAATACAGTAATAGTCTTCTATTAAGCATACAACAGTGTACAGAAAATTAGAAACTTCTGTAACTTCAAATGTACTAAAATAGCAATAAACTGGGTTAAAGATTTTAATACAGTTTGTCAATAAGTAAACCTTTCATACCTCATATGTATTTCATCACATAAACCAGCTGTCATGTATACATATCTTTGAGAGATTTAAATAGAATTTAAGAATTTTCTTTCCTTTCAGAAAACAACAAAAGATATGTTATTTTTCCAATAGAGTCAATTAGAAATATCAACAAACATATTCAATTCTAGACACTAATTAATCTAAATGGAAGTTTTGTGAGTATCACAATTAAAGTTCGACATTGTTATCTATCTTAGAATAAAATACTTTCATTTATATACATAAAACTTTGAAAACCTGATTTCCATACATTTTCGATTCATAAATTTCAAAATTGATTTTCTAATTTATGGAATCTATAATAAAATCTATAAATTTTCTTAAGACTTAACTCTAATAAATAATTTTTCCCCGCAATTCCCCACAAATTTTTCCCCACAGAGTCAACAAATTACAATAAAATTTAATCAGTTGATAATAACATTCATTAAATTGCAAACTCCTGTATCATATACATCTGGACAAAAATAGAGAAATAAATGAGATTATTAAAAAAAGAAAGAAGCAAACAGTACACAAATGTAAAGTACAAAAATGGAATACTTGCAGGTAAAAAAAAATAATAAGATCCACTAAAAATGTAAAATTACGTACATGATATGACTTAAGTAACACAAGGACACAGCAGCACATTCACTTGGTAATAAAATACTGTGGCTCTGTCACTTTAAAAAATTCCTTTAGGCACAGAAACAAATTTTTAAGTTCCCATGTATATCACAAGTACAAAAATAGCTTCCTATATTGAGAATTATGTGCATTTCTTACCAGACCACACTGTAAATCAGTTGGTTCTAGCATCAAGCTGATACAATAAGTACTCATATTCATGGATTAAGAGATGAGAAGAGCACCAACTGCATCAAAAAAATTAATTAACTACTTGCTATTAGTATTAAATATAAGCATTTTTTGTTTTTTTTTAAAGAAAATCTCAAAAAATGATTAACAAAATAATAAATGAGACAGATAGGCAGTTCATGACATTACAGTTTTTTGTACAATCCATAGTTACCTGAAATTTTATAAGTGGTATAAGAACTTGTTAAAACTAATTTATTGGAGTTCTTAATGGAATAAAAATGAAACATTTGTTTCTTAGTGAATGAATAACTGTACTAAAATACAACTTGGTATGGCATCCAATAAATAAAATATGAAAAAAAAATATTTAATTTTTAAGCCTAAGTTTAAAAGTATTTAATTCCACTTTTAAAGATAAAATATCACAGAAAATTTTTTCAGTAAGGAAATTGGCATTTATATACTTAAATTTTTAAAAAAAATGGATAGTGTATAATGGTAAAAACAAACACTTTCTTAGGTAATAATTACTATTTTTTCTAAAATAAAAATTTGTAGCTTTAAAAAATTTTATTAGTCAACTGTAACTTTTCATACAATTTTAAGAATATATTAGTATCTTTAATAATATTTTTTTAATCAGCCAATCATTTTATAATAGTCATAAATAAAATCATTGTTAAGAGCAAAAAATTATTTAAAAAAAGAAAACTAAACATAGTCCTTTAAAGGAGTTGATTAATATAATTCATTAGTAATTTTAAAGTAAATCACCTAGATTTCTCAAACTCCAAATCCATTGGATTATTATCATTGTTTTTTTGTGCAAAGTTTTACCTAATTAAATTATTCTTGATAAATAAATGATACAGAAAATTCTGACTATCAAATCCAAGCCCCACTTATATTTCTAATTCCACCAAACGTGAGGAAATAAACAATACTTGATGAGTTGATGCTGCCTTTACTCATATCTCAAAATTGTGTCAACTTGAAATGCATTCAGCAGAAAAAGTACCAATTTTAGCACCATACCTATAGCAGCTAATACAATTCTGATACTCAAAATTCTAAGTCTTAATAAATCATCTTTCAATAGTAACATTATCAATTGGTAGCTGAACTTGACTACTAGTCTGAACGGATGGAGACTCAGAATACACTATATTGTGAGATAATTCGATAGAACTAGATGGAATGCTTGAAACTTGCTGTAGAGTGGATTGAAAAACTTTTGTCATGCTTGATGGAGAAGGCTGCACCTGGGAAAAGTCTGAAGACTTGGTTGACATACTTTCATCTTCCCCCTTTTGCTTCCTAATACGAGCTTGTACAATTGCTAAATGTCGAAGCAAATACTCTTCCTTTGGTGCTAAAGACACTGCTTTTAGTAGGCATGCTTCAGCATACTGTAAAAGGCCACGTTCAACATAAACTACACATAGGTTGTGAATGGCTTGAATGTTTGTGGGATCTAGACCCAAGATCTTTTCATAGCACTGGAACAAATTAAATGTACATAATGAATAATTATCATACTCAATTTTATATCAGATTAAATTCACATTTTTTCTTAACACGTACATCTAAAGGAGAAATATTTATATAAAAAACAGACAATTAAGAAATAAAATCACTGATTTGAAATTTTTATTTCAAGGATTAAATTCTAACACTAATTTGCCCGACTTTGAAAAATACTTCCTACAAATAATAAGATTTACTTAATAACTGATATGGCTTAAGAAATCTATTTCAAACATTCCAAATTGAAAAATGCCATACAATATATCAAAAATCACATAAAATGACTCAATAATTACAATAATATTTTACAAAAATTATATGTACAAACATTCTTTTAAGTCTATGATAGACTTGGGCATGACTGCCATAAATTCTATGATACACAGCCTAATACAGTTCATTAATACAATAAAAGTTATAACAATTTTCAACATGAACTGCTGCTATTTTAAAAGTCAATAACAAATACCCCAAATGGTCTCTACACATGTGATTGACAATACATAAAGGCAAGTTTGGAAATCTACTAAACTGAATGCATACAAATGTTTTATGAGGTAGTCATGACAAGTTTTAATACTGAAAATGGCAATACTGACAGATCTAGGTAGGTTGTAACGAACAAGACTGCATTGGGAAACCCACATCCCCCCCCCACCACACATACTAAGATCCCATTCTACTTTTGAAAATGAGTCTTAAAATTAGAATTAATGATCCTTTTTGCATTGTGATAACAAACAGAAGGATCATCAAGGCTAAAGTGCCATGGGTAAACCCTACTGATACCCCCAGGATTTTGATCGGCAGTGATAGCAGAACCACCAGTGTACACATGCAACCAATGCTCTGTAAGAAATTTTTCTCCTATAACAGCCTAAGGGGCAATCTTCAGTTCTACCTCAGTGTAGGATTTCTTACAGGTTAACAGAACCGAGTCTATATTAATATTTGTCATATTCTAATATAGTAGAAACACACCCACTTCAAGTAGGGGTTGTCTATTAGATGAGAAAATATAAAACAAGTAATATAAAAAAAGTTTTAAGTCAATTCCTACTTAGGTCAACAAAGAAAACTTTTTATTTTAGTTACTTTTTATTAAATAGTTACAATTAATATAAATATGCATATACATATGACATAATCACACTATTAAGTAACAAACTAGAAAGCGATTTTCCTTGCAATTTTCCATTTTCCTTCCTACATGTGGTGTTGGATTTTTTTTTTTATTTGTCACTATTTACTCAAAAAAGTATAGTAAAAATGAAATCACACTCTCAGAAATTAAGCCATCCCAGGTGGGATTGGAACCCACAACCTTTAGATTAGGTCTAATGCACAATTCATTGTGCTACAGGGACACAACAAGCAACTTTTCTTTTTATGGTGTTGGACTATTATTTTTGTTTGTTACTGTTTATTCATTAATTTAAAAAAATAATGAATTAATATTTGAAAAAGCTAACATCAAGTGTCATCCACTACAAGTTTAAAACAATGTATTTGAACTTGAGTGGATGAATAAAAAGTATTTTATTAATGAGTTAACATTTGAACAAGATATATATAGATATATATATAGAGAGAGAGCATAAACTAATAATAGGAATAAAAAATGACAGGAAGTAAGTTTCGATTTTAACCTATAATCTGCAAGCTTCTATGTCTTCTAAAATCTCATCAATATGTCTCATTAATCTCTCAACTAACTTGAGTGCACTTTTTTTTCCTTCGATGAATTGGAGGATGAATAATAGTTTGCAATTACCTGTGGCCAGGAATGGAGTAGAATGATGACTAAGTGATTCAAAGGGCATTATTTTGAGAAATTTCAATCTTGTTCTGAATGGATTCAGAAACAGTTATTAGAAGTTTCCTACAATACTCGACAGTAAACATAATAGAGAATTTGTAAGTGGTACAGAGTGATGTACTTGCAATGCACAAACAATTAAAAATAACATTAACTAGCATGCTAATTAAACATTTAAATGTTTTATTTTTTTACCTTCTGAGCAGCATCAAGATCCTTTAAATGGTTTATGTACACATCACCTAATAATATGAGACCTTTGATGTGCTCTGGATAATGCTGAAATATTTTAAAAAAAGAAATATTACATTTCAAAATAAAAGGGGGAAGTTATAAAATTATTTAAAATAACTGAAAGAGAAAATAATGAACAATAGTAAGCTCTTTATAGACTAAGAATTGTACATCTATTTTTAATACGATGAACATTTACACTATATAGAAAGACAACTTTATATAGAGATATAATATATACAGAGTTCACCATAATTCTAATTTTTAATAAATATTAACATTTGTTAAGTAATATATAGAATAAACAAGTTATTTTTTAAATTTATATAAAATATTTCAAAATTTTACTATTACAATCAATCGCAATATAAGTACACTTCACATTAATGACACAAAGCAAATGAGTGGTGTATCTGTCATAACAATTCATATAAATTGTTCTTTTTTTCTCCCCAAATTATCAGAAAATTAAATATTTCTTTTTCTTGTCCTAGCAAGAAAATCCTAAATATAACCACAACTTATAAAGAGTAGAATGCTACATCAATGGCATTATTTTGTTCCATTAAATTGTAAGAAATCAGATATACTTTGTAATCTTATATAAAAAAATAATAACTGTTATTCAAGACAGTCTTTGAGTATTATTAGGACTAATTTATATGCTAAAAGAAACAAAAAATTGCTTATTAATGAAATGTTCTCAAATTTAAAAAAACACTACACTAAAAAAATTTTACTGGTATTAATTTCTACAAAAATTTTGACTTTTCAAATCTGAAAAGGCATTAATAGTTCAGGGTCTTCTGCATTTAGTAAAGAAAGCATTAAATCCTTTAGTTTCAAAACACTTGTAAATAAAATTCAAAGTAGGTTATAAAGATTCACATGCAAATACATTAGCCTTCCAAAGTTTTGAAAGTTCAGCATTAAAAGAGTGACAGTAGGAATAAAGTTCATAGCTTAAACGAGTGATAGTAACAAACTTTCAGGAAACTAATACAAGGGAACAATAGCCATTATTTTTACTTTAAAGAAATTGACACTTATATAGAAGTGAGAATAAATGTGCAAAAATCAAACATTCACAACATTGCAAAATGTTATGTACATGATTGTCAATTATCAAATAGTTGTTAGTAATTACATTAAAAATATCCAGAAGAGTCTGGAAATGTTTAGAAATAGTTCTTTACCCAGTTCATTAAGGTGGTGGACAGTTGGAGGATGAAAATGAAATTGTTACAAGCTAATGCTGCTAGAGTGCATTGTGGTCTAATGACTATAGGATCGGTTCAAATCTGATGATTCTGTATCTTGAATACATGTTTATGTTAACTATGAGTTATAACACCTGTGGGAGACAGCATTTTAGTTTTTTTACAGAGAAGGAAGAGAAACACTAATGTGTGTCTCAGTTTGTTACAGATCATTTTGTTGCATAAGGAAAGAGAATCTCTGCTACTAGGGTGAGAAAGTGTCTCCACAATGCAGGTCTCAATAGACTATGACATCTGTGTTTTTAAGAACTACCAACAAAGATGTACCTATTTATGTTGAGCCAGAAAATGTTTCCTATACTAGACAATAACAGTATCTATAGTCTTCACAAAGGAGTCTAGGTTCCCACTAAAGAGCAGTTTGGATCATCTGATTTATAGGAAGCAACAAACTGTAAATAACCAATCTAGTGATGGTGAAAAACACAGTTACAGAGGTGGCAGGATCATGGTTGGGGCAGAGCTGGTTTACATTTAGCTGATCACACTAACCTGTATGTTCTATGGAGAAATTCTGCAAGGTGTGGGATATTGGTAAGATATACTTAATCAATATGTCCATCCATATGCCTCTGCCATTTGTAAGGAATTTATTCTGATGTATGATAAATACAGTCATACTGAGATGTGCTTGTTAAGGACTATCTTGAGGACCATGGCTTAGAGCAAATGAAATTGCCCATTCAAAACCCAGACCTAAATCTGAAATTATTTTTTGGGCTACCTTGGTAGATAAGTTGCTACTTTAAATCCTACTTGAACATCATAATACGAGTTGGAACACAAGTTTTCTCATATCTGGTCTTTGCTTCTGATTTAGGTGTTTGGCAATTTAATTAGAATGGAAATTTGATGCTGCCAATGCACTGTTGTTAGGCAGGAGTGGGGAACACATTTCTTATTAAAACCCAGTTTTGTAACATAGCTTTGCTATTTTTCAGAATAAAACTGATGTACTACTTTCTTCTAAACACTTCCATCAACTGACAATGGCTAACACAGACATAACCCAAGTACAGTAAAATTTTAAAAGTTTTAAGCAGCACTTGTTGGATTTTGTCATCTTTACTTACACAACAATAGTGATTTCTACTCAAAAGTTTAAGTAATTTTATTAAAAAATTTGATTTCATAACTTTTTATCAATTTAATTAATTGAGTAACAATACAAAACCTTATATGATAAATAGAATGGACATACACATCTTCTGATCTAATAATCTGAAAAAGCATTAATTCTTTTTCAGTTAAATCACCTGTCATGGTAAACAGAAGACAGACTCAAGGTTTTTTCAGAAAAATAAATTTTGCAAAATTGTACACGATAAAGTGCCATGTAGTTAAAGGGCGGGGGGGGGGGGGGATCTGGAAAGCAAATTTTAAAAGCAAGACATCACAATAGATCATTTGACCAGTTATGGCATGTATATTGTTATGCTAGAAAAGTGATAAACTTTAAAAAATAATAAATTTATGAAAGCAATAAATCACAGAAAATCAAAAGAACCCAAAAATCCCACATTAAAAAAAATTATGTACCTTTAAAAGTTGTTTGAGAAAAGGCACTGCTTCTAAAGGACGGTGATCATCAGAAAGTAAGAGTGCCAGATTGAAAAGAGCACTTCGGAAATTTTTCTTCATCTAACAAGAAGGAAAAATGCTTTTAAAAATAAAGTAGATATATTTTCACTTAAAAATCACCTATTCAAAAGCTAACAGAAAAAATTGTAAATAATTATTACAAATTAGAAAGGGTTATCATAAAATCCAGTCAGTGAATCAAATAAAAATCAATTTTTAAAATATGATTATAAATATTATAGTTATTATTTAATGTTATGAAAATGAATTCTTACTTGGTACACAAAGAATAAAGGTAAACATTAAGCATACAATCTAGAAAACTTTAAATAGAACATTTTACATAAAAACTTTATAACTTCATATGATGATTTTTTTATTGCAAAAAAAAAAAAAAAAAAATAGAAACATATGAAATAAATAACTTGTTTTTGAAAAACTGCTCTATTTTCAAGAAAGGCAATTTGCATATAGTAAGGGTGATGTGAAAGCACTATGTTATGATAAATGCAACTATTTACCAAATGTTTATTGATTTTATTATAATGAGAAATATTCCAATTAATCATTAATATAAAACTTTTAATGATTTATAAAATAATTGAATGATGCTATTACCTCAATTGCCTTTTTGAACCATTTTTCTGCTAATTGTACCTCTTTATCATCCATCGCCAGCATTCCCAGGTTGAAGTATATTCGTTCATTAGTTTTACCCTTTTTGAGCAATTTATATAACCTTTAAAGAAAACAAGCTTAATCAACCATTTCGTTAATATATCATCAGCTATTTTGTAAACATATATTTACACTGTCATTCATGTAAATAAGCAAATCGTAAAGTAATAGCATTGTGTATCAAATAACCACTCTCCTTAATAATTTATCAAAATTAAAATACAATTATAATGAACATTTCCCTTCTAATTTAAAAAATTTCTTAGGTTTGAAATTTTAATATCAAAAGAAAGAGAGAAGAAGAATACAATACAATTACATTATATTTCAGGCAGTCGAAGGTTGAAAAGTTTAAAAAAATTACTTAAAATGTGTAGACAAAAATAAGTAGTAGTTTTAAAAGTTTAAAAATATTTCATTTTAAATAATTTACTGTCACAAAATCTAGAGCTTTTGTTAAGTTAAATTGTCTTAAGAATAACAATTCTGTAATAAGAAAGGTAATGGCGTGTTTAGTTACAAGGAAAAATAATACTATAAAGTGAAAAAAATTAAGAAAAGGTTTTCCCTCCTTTCACAGCAGCTGTAATCGATAAAATAAATGAAATTTGAAAAAAAATGGGTATTGCATGAAAAATATTAACTAATTTTCAAGGAAGACTTAAATGTACATTACACTGGAGTTCTTTTTGATGTTGATAATTTTTTTAATTAATCTTCTAATCACACAGGATAAAATTAAAGTCTGTTTGATAATACAAAAATTAAAATAACG